CCGGCGTGCGTTTCACTGGATGGGCAGAGAGACAGGCATGGGCACACTCACCCAACGCTCTTTTTCATTAGGAAACTAAAATAATCGCCGCCGAGTTCAAGTCCTAATGCCTCGCAAAGAAAGCTTCCAAGCCAATATTAAATCCTACAAGGAGAAGGCCAACTGCTGTTGGGTAATAGCTGTTTGCCTTGGAAAATGGTGATTATCCTGCCTGCTCACCCCCTCTTTGAGGTCACTGAAACTTTAATGAGCCGCTCGGGGTCCGCATGGCTACAACTGCTCTCACTCCCAACTTGAAAGAGCGCAAATCTTTCCACTTCTGAGGTCAGGAAAAACCACAACACGCATTTCTCTCGCCCAGCCTCTGCCAGATGACCTACTTTTATCTGATGTGAACCCTCCTAACCCCGTTTCCAAACCTCACCAAGAGCTGAGCAGAAAATCCCTAAAAACGAGATGGTAGTTTAACCCAGGAATTATATTTACATTAGTTTCCAGCACACCACAGCTTAGATTCATTTCATTTGACACTAAAAACCTAAAAGAGGTGCCTGGTTTAGGAGTGAAGCTGGTCAGAGAGACAAAAACACCTCCATTGGAGGTATGTTGGATAAACTGGATCACCCCTATAAGCCTGGGGGAGGTGCATTTTAAGGAAGAGGCAGCGTGAATGACAGATACATCTTGTCAGTTTTAAAATTAGAGAAGAAAGTTATATTCCCTGCAGGAGGGAGAACAACTGTGCACACAGTCTTGAAGCCCTGCAGCTCCTACTCCTTCCTTCAAAGGTTTCACTACTCACTTTGCTGAATTTTGATGCTTCCGCTCCCAGAGGGCTTTTTTCTTTTTTTTTTTTTAAAGACATTTTTTCATAGCACTGCATTTGAAGTTTACTGTCTGCATTTTCCCTTTACAGCCTTACTTGGTTTTAGAGATTAAAGGAGACAGGAATCCTTCGCAAAATAAATGTGACTGCCATATCTGACACTTCCCAAGAACAGTACAAACTTTGTGCCAGAGGCATGCAGGATTAGGGATGGAGGCAGCCAACACAACCATCAATTGCTGTGGTCTGCACTTATACAACGTGTCACAGAGCCCCGAAGACATAAAACAGACGTACAAATCAATTCTGTCATCTTCAGGCGCATGGTTGTCTCCTGAGGAGAGGCCATCAGCACCCCAGAGCCGGCGCTATCTCCGAGGGCAGGCAGAGCTGCACGGCTCCGCCGAGGGCCCCGGGAGGAGCGCAAGGGATCACTTTCCATATGTTCAAAACAATCTCGGCTTCGGAAGACAAAACAATCCTCCGAAACATTCCAGAAAATCGCAGTCATCATCGCAGCTGACTTCGGAGCTGCCCAAAGAATTCCCCGCGGCGGGCACTTCGCGCCCCGAACGCCACCTGGGCTCAGCCCCGCGGCCTCACCTTTGGTCTCGCAGATCATCACGTTGCTGTACTCGCTCTCCCCGCCCTCGTTATAGCACTGCATCTTAATGTCATAAGAAGTTTCAGGCTGCAGGTGATTTATCAGGTGCCACTGCTTCGTACCTGTGGGGGGAGAAAAAATAACTGCAGTTCAGTTACTCCCGTGAGCCACAATTCATGGCCAGGCTTCGTGAATGAAGATCTAGGAATTGAGCCAGAATTAGGGACGAGTGTACTGCAGGGTCCTTCTCTACCAAGTGCAGGGACATTGCAGCTTCTTCTGTTAGCACAGAAGTCTTTAGTAACTGTTTATGGACTTAGCTGAAACCATGATCTATGAGTGGCATCCCTGCCCATGGCAGGGGGTTGGAACTAGGTGCTCCTTAAGGTACCTTCTAACCCAACCCATTCCATGGTTCTATAAGATTCACATTATCTTGCGAAATTGAGAATCAGAAGAACCTTTTGATGAATAAAAGTGAGTCTTTTTCACTATTGGCAATTGATTTAAAAAAAACAAAATCCTTCTCTATAAAAGCCAGAACTCACTAAACTCAAAAAACAGACATCCAAGTGTCCCCATCTGTGCATTTAAATTCAACAGCAGCCTAAACATGGAACTGCTGCACAGATGGGTTTAGGGTGGGTTATGCTGGCAATTTACAGTACACTGGGCAAATAACAAGGGAAACTGGCACAGAAAACTTGAGATAGTGGAAAAACTTGGCTGTGGTAAGACCCTCTCCCAGCCTGCAGTGCTCGAGGTGCGAGGTACGACTGCAGCCGCCTGTGTCTCGCAGGAAGGACACATCTGGGTCGCTCAACGTGGCCAAAATGTGCATTTTATTAACCATCCTGGGAACCCAGCGAGGCTGTCCCGGTGCCGCTGCCCCAGCAGAGCCTGAGCCCGAGCCAAGCAATCTTCTCTAATAGGACCGTTTTGTCATCTCTGGCCCCCGGCCAGCATTTCATTTAGACACCCTCCTGAAGTACTGAGCACTTCGGGATAAATCATTCCCAGTTTTTACTTTCACGGGCTTGTGACAAATTTTAATAAACAGCAACCCTTTTTTTTTTTCTTTTTTTTTCTTTTTATTTATTCTTTTTTATTTTTAAGGAGTTTAATTAACTGTTTGAGTGCTCCTAATCCCTCTTGGAAAATACCCCCTTGAACTGTTTCCCCTGTTTCTAAGGAGCTGTCATACCACCTACTGATTTAAGCAGGAATAAAAAGAACCGAGCGTGCTCGGCGGGCGGGGGCTGTCACCGTGACACTGCTCCAACTCCTCCGGGACCCCCGCCCAGGTCCAGGACCCCCCTCCCGGCCCCACAAGGGCAGGAGATGAGATGTGGTCGGAGCTCAGCCCTCGCTGAGCGTTCCAGTGAGGGCAGACAAGCCCTGGCTGAAGCTGGAATCCGCCTTTCCCTAAATCGCACGTTTTCCCAAGATTCAGGCTCGGTTTTCCCGGCGCCCCCACCCCCAAGCATTCCTTTCGGTAATTACTACACCAGGTTTTAGGTTTCCGCTTCAAACCATTAGTGGAACTGGAATCAGTACAGGCACTTTTAACTGTCCTCTTCTTGCACCATTAGCAAGGGAAAACATTTAAACAACTGACATCAGACTGCATTTACATTTAAAATTCAATCTCCAGGACCCTCAAAACAGAGAAATTCTGACCAGAAACAGAGAAATTCAGACCAGAAACAGAGAAATTCAGATCATCGATGCAGGACAGGGTTGATTTGGCTTTGTTTTTGCTTAAAAAGAGATACCAAGGAGCCACCAGAGCCAAGCTTTTTGCTTGTTGTTTTTTTTTTTTCTTCAAATAAAATCTGATTTTGCCTGTAGCGGCATTTATATGGAAAAAAAAAAAGTTTTCTGCAGAGTTTTGAATGTCTCGAAAGACAAGACTTAACAGGAAGCGGTGAGGAAAGCCTGAGGCAAGCACTTAGCTAACACAGGCATCACAACACTTTTTCCACAACTCATGCAGTCATTTCAAGATAAAATTCCCTGTCAAAAAACAGACAGATTAATTCAAAGGTAACAGAGAGGGGGGGGAAAAAAAAAGTGAAGGACAAGTGATTTATGGTAAAAATACCTTAAGTCACATGTTCCTCTACATATTTCACATCAAGCGCTTCCAATCGCACTTTAATTGAAAATAGTTCTGTCTCTTTTTCTTTTTTTCCCCTCCCTGAAAAGCTAATTTAGGGGAGCACAGTAAAGAAAAGATGAGGTTTAAATCTTTCCACCGAGTGATTTCTGTTGCAGGCTCTGGCAGAGTGGAGCAGCTGCTAATGGTTTCAGACTGCCACAAAGAGTTCAATACACACACGCTCGGAAAAAAATCCGAAACAAGCTAATTTCACAGCACAGTGGAGCCCACTTAAACAACTAACTGCTCAGTGTATAAGACTTATAAACACACAAGTTCTGTGCAGCAAAGGCTAAAATACATTTGCAGATGAAGGTGCAGCCTGCATAAGGTTCTTTAAAGCCTCTGAGCCCAAACTCTGGATCTTTAATAGCTTTATAGTGTGCAAAAGCTTATGTCATGCATCAAAGTACTATGTGCAGAATTGTCTGGCAGGGGAAAATTTTCAAAATAAAGGCCCATTCCCCTTGTAACTGAAATAAATGAGGGGGAAAAAAATAATTAACGTCATTGGGCCAGAATGAGATCACTGCGTTTGCTCAGCCCGAGCAATAAGGACATTAAATAAAATATTTTTAAAAGGGTTTTCCACTTCTGGACTAATATAGACATTATCTAATAACTTCTTCCAGGAAAATGATGATCTAATATGCACAGGGGAAAAAAATAACTTGATTAAAAGGCAAAATGAGGCACAAACATACCTGCATTTGCAGCGTGCTACAGCACTTGGGGCTAAAAGCAACTTCCTTATAGCAGGAGAAGTGATTAGGTGAGGTAAGAGGAGAGAAGGGCAATTACACACAAGGTACTACCAGCTTAGAAAGTCTGTGCTGGGGCAAATAATTTTAAAAGCCTGCTAGTTATTAGCACAGTCTGTAACCCAGATGTTTTTACCCTGGGTTAAACCCCATTTACACTGCTTTCTCTTTACACGACTTGAAGTTACACCAGTTTAAACAGACCTGCACTAAGGATGTGCAGCAGTAGAACAACCCAAACCTAAACCCAGCATTTAGTTCTCGAGTTCCCGCATCGAAGCAGCTTCAGAAGGAAGAAACCAGCTCATGTGTGGGCAGAACCTGAGGTTAGGTAGTTGAGAGAGCTCCTTCTGCCAGACATATGGCAAAGACTGCGCCTGGGAACAGCAGTTTAGATTCCATATAAACACAGCCAGCGAGGCTGCAGGGTGTCCCTCCCCTGGAGGGGTGTTTTCCCCCGGGCCTGGCCCCGTACCTTCCACGATGTCCCGCTTGTAGTCGCTGTCGTTGTCACTGTCCGTGGGCCGGTAATAGATGTAAAATCCTTGGATGGGCGTGTTGTTGTTGCTGGATGTAATGTACTGCAAAGAGAATTTGAAAGGGCTGCATTAGAGATGAAAAATTTTAACTGAGCCCTGCTGTCATCGCCGAGTGTCTGATCCCCTGGAAATGTGAATGTTCTTAATATGGCTGTACAAGTAAAGGTGACTGATCTCCTCAGAGCAGCTGAAAAAAAGGAGTGTGGGATGGGGATAAGAGACTGACTGGGGCTGACACTTTCCTCCCACATCACTTTCCAAACCCTCAATTAGGGTTTGACCATGAACGGCCTGAAAATTTTCGTGATTAATGGAAATGGAAAAGTTAAAAACCATTTTTACTTCAGAAAGAGTTAAGGTCACTCTAAAAATCAGCTCAAGAATCTTTTACTTTAAGTTATGCAGCCTCCTGAGGAATCAGAGGTTATTTTAAGTTTATTATCCTTAACATCTCTTAAGGCTGAGCTAGCAGAGCAAACTAACACTGGGAACTCTACACATTAAATCCTCCAAAGTATACCAGGGGGTTAGATTTCAAAACAAGAGCAAAGAATTTCTGTGGGTTTCAATAAGGACTTTAAAGTACTTGTTTACAATAGACGAGGTAACAGGGGAAAGGAAAACGTTTCTCTGACATGAAACCTCCACTGGATGTGAGGGAAGACGGAGGGTTTGAAATGCTCCCAGCCACCCCAGCCTGGATTGACAAAAGCAGCAGGAATTGCAGGAAACGGAGCCAACTTGCTCACAACTCATGGCACGAACAGGGCTTGGGACAGAGTTAAGCCCACTGGTGCCTCTGATATGTCTGTGCCAGAGCAGGTGGACTCGGCGGCTGCAGCCCCTC